AAACCACATAAAATTTAGCTTGAATTTTCATGTTTATTTAATAGGAAGTGAACGAAAAAGAAAAAAGAGAGAGAAAATTCAGTTTATAATGAAATCACTTTTATACTTCAAGATTTCACCAACCTTTGGTGAATTAACAACAATATATGCAAAATAAAGAGTAAAATCAAACCAGTTTTTCTAAAAAGAAATTCTATATAGAGCCATTTTCAACTTTAGTAGTTTTATAGAAAAAAAAATAGAATTTGCTTATTAAATTTAAATTAAACAATTACTTTTAAATTTTATTTAAAATTTTAGTGAAAAGAAAAAGTGATTAAAAATTATTGTTTACTATGTTTTTTTTTTGTTATATTTTTAAGTTGTAGGTCTCTAATTTGAGATTATTCTAATAGATAATATGAGTTTTGAATTGTTGAAAAAATAACATATTTATTAAATATGATTAGGTCTCTAATTAAGATTTTAATAGATAATATTAATTTTGAATTATTAAAAACATAACTGATTTATTAACTATAATTAGAAATTAATTAGGATCTTTTTGAAAATGAAAAAACAAAATGCAGCAACTGGGATTCGAACCTGTGCGTGTGCGCATTAATAAACCTTCACGTTGGGCAAAGATACCGCTGAGCTAAGAAACTTTACTGTGCTTAAGGGTGTCCAAAATGTCTTATTTAACCATTTAAAGTATAATTTTACTTATATATATGATGTAATTTTTTAACGAAGGGTGTCCAATTGGACACCTGAGCATAGTGTACCTCCGCCCCTGATCATACTAATATGTGGATGGTAACATTTTGGCATCTTGAATTAAATAGTAGTAATATATTATATTGTACAATATGGCACTGTCTTGGTCTAGATATAACAGTTGCCTACTTTTATAGGGTTCGGAAAAATATTGTTCTTCCATGTGAGATGAACCCATAATTATGTGAACCCACACATCTATTCTAGCAGCTTGCGACAATTCTAATTCTTGTCCCCCCTTCATTTTTCTTCCCTTGAAATAAATGATTTTTAAAAAATTTACTATACATTATTTGTCCACTTTGAATTTCATACGTTCTTTAAAAAATAATTATTATTTATCATACTATTCATATCAACTAATGTTCAAGGTATAACAAGAAAAAATATTATTGTATTGAGTTTCTTGATATATTAAAAAATAATAAATAAAAATGAAAAATTATTTTATGAGATACTCTACTGGATAAATAAAAAATAAACAAGAGAAGAATGCTCTTTAATCTGTAGTACTGTCTCGTCGAAGTTTATGTCTTTCAGATTGGATAAATTAACGGTGTAGAAATTAAGGAGATTTGGGATATTGTGTGGTTTGTTGAAAATCAAATACAAGCACAAAGTCATCACAGTAGAAACAATAAACAGTTAGCAGCTTACCATTTTATGTGAGGTAATTTGATTCGGCACGAAGTTTAAGAAAAAGAAGAAAGACTTTTAAAATTTATAATTCAAAATGAATGATAAAAATTTGTATGACTAAAAAAATTTCATTAAGGATAAAATAAAAATATGCTATGTGTCATGCAAAAGGGAAATTTGAGGTGCATGCGCACGTAATATAAAAACTAAAAAGTTAAGTTAGGCCCCTTCCTTTACGATTATGCAGCGTACACGTAAAGAGATAATTTAACCACAAAAAGAAGATGAAAGATTTTCAACCTTTTCCAAATTGAAGAATCCATCACATCCTTCGTTCATTTCCTCCTGTTTAAGATAGGCCCCTACTGACCGTCCAAAGATCCCCTTCTCCATTTCAGGTGACCTTTTACCTTCTAGACCCTACTACTGCTATTTTTTTGGTGTCAGATAAAATTTTGTCCTTATTTTCTTAATTAATTTTATGAAATATTTATACGTATGGAATAACCTTTGTGTATATTTTAACTTATTTCATCAAATAACTTTGTTAATTAAGATTTAAATATTTAGGTTATCTCCGACATCTAAGTCCTATTACTGTAATAGTTTGTAAGTCATATAAAATATGTAAATCGCATTATGCAAGCTGAATTCAATCTTAGGTTTCCTAAATGAGATCGAGACCTACCTCCCAACCGCTCACCCATGCGCTTGCGGGCGAGCGCCTTTTTTCTTTATAAGGTAGAAAATGAAAGTTTCTTGAGTTCTATACTTCTATTGCCTTCTTTAATGTCAATTGGGTAAAATCCCCTCTACAGACCAGGCATGCGCAGTTTGACTTTGGTCAATGGATTCTTAACAAATTAGGAAATTAAAGTTTTCTACCTTATTGGGCCCAAACAAGGCTTGGATTTAAAATGATCCAGTAAAAAACTGCAGCCCCAACTATAATTTTCATATTTTGATTTGATTGATTTGACAAGTTAAAGGCCCC